TGTTCTACCTACCCTTGCAAGGGGGTCAGGTTTTTTTTTTAAACACCCTGTATACAGTATTTTATCTCTTGGAGTACACGAAAGAAAATTCCTATTATGTTCAAAGAACATCGTGCGTACCTGTAGGGATGGTAGGGAGATGAGGTAGATGTTAGAACTATTTCGAACTTTAAGAGATTATATGTTCTTGGGAATAGCAAAGATTTCTGAGGAACATTTCCCGTGTAAGTATTTATAGAAATATGGAAGGTCGCCAGCTTCTCTACGGTTTTCTAATGAAGTCACAGGATTAGTGAGTGTGGCATATCCTTAGAAGAGTATAGATTCAAATGGAGCATTGGTGAAATGCTTTCACAATCGAAAATATTCGAGATTGATGTATTAGTTGAACATGGATTTTGGAACGACAAATGTTTGTTTATCTTGACTTCAAAATGTGACATCGATTTGACGTATTTTCAGCGCCATCTAGCGATTCGGGGTAATTGAGATTTGGCAACAGTGACGACACGTCAATAGTTATGACACTTCCATAGAGAGGGCATCACCAACAATATTTCAGGTTATAGAAACCATCTATTCTCAAAGTGGTACTGTATTTCAATAAAAAAAAGGAATATCAATAGGTCAACCGCACAGAATTCAATTAGAAGACATTGTGTATATGATGATAGTTTTGGGAATGGGTCATTATCATCAGGCATAGAAAAAACGACTTATATTGTCCAACGATGAAGAGGTAGCTTAATAGATTGATTTTCAAAATTCATAGCATTTCTCGATGTTGAAATTTTTTGAAATATCTTTATGATTGTTGGGCCATTACAAATTGAATGACTATACGATCAATACCGATTCATTATCAAAAATCAACAATCCTCATGATTTTTCACTCAACTCAACTATACTTGGACATAACTCCATGATTTTTTGTGTATGATGATGACCGTGGTTCCGAATCTATAGTCACACCTCGACTTTGTTCGGAGTTTTGTGGTAAACCGACTCAAAGCTGCCTCGTTTCCACCAAAAATGTTGTGTGTGACTTTTCTTGTACATGTTTGGCTTAATCGATATGTAACCCCATTCCTTAGTTCTCAGTCGGCTCAGTCCATATCAAATGTTGATTCTGGTTTTCAAATAACAAGTGCGAAATTCCGAATCTCATGTATATACTCAGATATTCGTTGAACGGAAACAGAAAGTTCTACAAGACGAAATGAGAAAGAAGAAAAAACTATCCAGATGTTCTGCTAGATTCTTTGCTTCCATATAGTAAGTCTTTTGTATCAAACACCCTATATAAATATATAAATACATATACTGGTCGGATTTATAGCATTTTGTAAGCATGCACTTGAGAAATGTTTGTCTCGTTTCGAACACCCCCTACCCCCTTTTCAACTCCTCATGACAATTCAACCAAATGATTGGTATACCTGTTTGATATCATCAGAATGATAAGGTTGAAAGAGACGTCTGTTTCCATCTATTTAACTCTGTTCTACAGGAACGACCTTATAGTAGTACAATTCAAGCAATTGAAGCAGTTAATGTGCAAATTTTAACATTGATATTTTCTTGAGAGGATTTTCTTAAACATTCAAACATTCACATCCAAAACTGAACGCGAATGGGTTTGTAAGAAAGTTGATTTCTCAAAAATACCTCTGATCTATCGAGAGTTGCAGATTGTGCAGTTTATTTTCATGGAGACTAAGAAAAATACAGCGAGGTTCGTGAAGTTGACATGACTCGATTTCAATCCGATAAGAATACATGGCACTTTTCAAAATAATGTTTGTCTCTGAAAAAAATCATGATATCTATGGTTTTTCATACCTATTCAAATAAAAGCATGACATAACTGAGATGAAAAGGTGCTGGGTAGGTTTATTCGAAGGGAGACGTATACTATGAATGGAATAAAATGAAGTAATCACCCTGAAATAATTGGTAACTGAAAAGTTATTCAAATACGTGTATAAGGAATAACTTTATTGATTATGTAATTCAGGAATTATAATTCGATGGAATTATATCTCCTCGAAACAAATATAATGCAAATAATGAATTTCCCTGCTTGTTGATTCATATCTTGGTATAGAAGAAATTAAGTTATGTAAGACTACCTTGGTAGGTTAGTTAGACGGAGGTAAAGGTTCATGAAGAAGCAAACAAATTACTTAATAATATTTATGTGTAAGTATACATATACATACATAAACACAACAATTTGTATTTTGAACACAACAAGTAAAAATACAGTTCAATAAAAGGGATAAAAACAATTATCGCTCAAAAATACAATTTCTAGTACTCTCAACACAAACATTTTGAGGATCAATAAATAAATAATGGAAGATAATTATTATAATTTTGAGAGATTGTCAATTAATATTCAATGGGTATACATTTAAGTATTTTTTGCAACTAGAGATCAATTTTAATCAGCACAAGTGTGGTTCTGTAGTACATTTATTATTAAAAATTATGAATTCGTTTTGGATGTATGAATAACAACTGCGATTCTTCTCCCTAGGATCTTTACACTTCAAATTAAAATGTGATGAAAATTCAAAAATGTATTGTAATACTTAGTTGATATCCATGAACTTATTCAATCTTTTTGAAATCATTCGAAATAGTATATTTACATTCATGAAACTAGAAAACCGAGAAAATTTATTCTCAAATATATGCCTTTCCTATATGATGTAAACTACTAGGGTATGGTTAGTATAGTAGTCTGTAGTTATTTTTAATAAAATTCGGATTTTAAGAGGAGGTTTTTCTCAGGTATATTTTACAAGTTAAGTGACTATACACCAAGCGGTAATATTATATCAACTGAAAAGTATTAACGAAAAATAAAATTTTGCATCAACCGTATACAACAAGCCACAGATATACAGGTACCTAACAGTATTTATTATGTACATCGTGTTGCAGGGTATCAATTTGACATATGAATAATATGGCTCTTACAAGACAGGTAGTGAGAAGATTGACAATATTTATAGTTATCATATTTTATAAAACATTTTGCATTGGTATCAAGAATATCACAACGTGTGAAAATAACATATTTTCATTGTTCCACATGCCAGATAAAAATTGAATTCAACATTACTTCGATATATATTTCAGAATATATATTCAACAGTGTGTCCAAGATAAGGAAGTCTATCATGGGGATCTCGGAAACCATGAGGGTCACGGAGATGGTTAAATCGAAGAAAAGTTGCATATTTTCAAGCATAATAATATGCTGTTTAGAAAAATTTAAAATTTCGAATAGTTCCGGAAAGACGCCTATGAAACTGGAATTTGCCGATATCGATTTTAGTTTTCCTAACTTTTTTTAGAGAGATATCGGAGAACAAAAGTTACCTTATTTTTAAACAGGGTATGCTCTTTTTACGGGTCATATAAAAAAGTAGATAATGTTTTCTACGAAACGAAACGTTCGAGAAATCTCTCAACGCTTTTTTGTAGAGCTTAAGAAGTGACAATAAGGAAGTGTCTTCTGTTTCCCTATATCTCTTCAAATAACCACAAAAAAAAATTAATATACAAATTTCGATTTTCAGAGGCATAGGTACCTCCGGAACTACCCAGAATTTGAAAACATTCCACACTTTATATTGTTGTTCTTGAAAATGCGCAACTTTTCTATGATTCAACCATCTCCGTATTCCTTATGGTATCCGAGATCCCCATGATAGACATCCTTATCTTGGACACGGTGTATACCTAGGTATTTCCAGCAAATTATGGCACACTTGAAAATTATATGAATAACAAAAATGTGTACCTATCAATCAGTATTATGTGTTATAAATTGTAGATCAATAATGCCATGTCCTGAAATTTCCAAAAAAATAATCTGTTCACTGTGAATTAATATGGTGATCTATACAGGGTGTCCCGTAAAGACCACGTCAAACCTAGGGGGAATATAGATCGAAGGATAGCCCACCTGCATATGACAAAATTCCCATTATAAAAGTCTTACCGTTTTCGAGAGTTTTCAATAAAAATATTTCTCATAGCCCCCCTTTAGAATGTTCGGAGAGTGTTTTTAATGTATATGTTAAAATCATTCTTTAGCAATTTTCACTGAAAAAATGAACCAAAAAGGTGTTAAAATTGTACCAACCGTGCAGACAAAACAATTGAAAGGGGCAAAAATTCAAAATATATAATGGAAATTTTGTCATAGCAGGTGAGTTATCCTTTGATCTTTATTCTCCCTAGGTCTTTACGGGACACCCTGTATATGATTTTATTTCACAATTCCAGCTATTTCTCGAGTTACCTTGATTTCATCAATTTTTCGTTGCAATAAATATGTAGCATGGGATATTCACCCCACAATATCAAAATTCCACTACCTATTAAAGATACTTTATATTCTAATGTTATTAAAATTGAATATCAATTAAATTTTCGATAAGTAACTTATCAAATAAAATAAATTGTCAATCATCTCATCAATCCTGTATATTAGTACGTTCTACCCGCGATAATTTCATACATTGAACTACAGGCAACATTGATTACAGTTTACAATAACTTCAACATACCAATGAATTATTATAACCTAATGACAAAAGTACAATCGACGTACCTATTTACAATATCAAGTCTTGAATGCTCAAATGGCATAAGTGTGTTTCGTATGAATAATACATGTAATAATAGTGGCACTACCTACCAGGTAGCTGAATCTCGTGCTTTGCACCAAAAATAATTTGCACAAGCCCAAAATTTGGAAATAATTAAAAACTAATGTTCATTAAGTAAATTTACAAATTCAATATTCACAAATTTACTCTTTGGCACTGCAAAGATTGTTCTTCCAGGGTTGATCAGTCTCATATTATCATAATTCAACTAACTCATTCAAGCACTAAGGATTGGAACTAAAATTCAATGACTCAGGTTGCTAACCCCTGGTGGTGATGGCCTAGTACAACCCCGGAAAATGCCATCGGTCACTGATGATGCTTTAACGTCCCATTAGCCGAAACATGATGGTTCACAATATGATGTTGTGAATGCACCTGGTGGGGTGCATGGTGGTGCGAACCATGGTGGTTCTGGTTGTTGGTGGCCGAATTGTTGTTGTTCTGCTGCTGGGTCTGCTGCCGCTGGGAGTTTTTTTTATTCTTCATGCGACGATTTTGGAACCAGATCTTCACCTGCCTCTCCGTCAAGTTGAGATTCCGCGCTAGTTCCCACCGCTTCTGCTTCGAGACGTAGGCGTTGAATAGGAATTCTTTTTCTAGCTCGAGGGTTTGGTATTTGGAGTACGGTTTGCGTTTTTTGCGGACTGTGACTTGACCAGTCCATTCCAAAGGATTCGTGCCTGCGCCACAAGGAACTCCCATTGAGCCCAGGGAACCTGAAGCAAAGAGAGATGGGGATGATCCCCACATAACTGTGAACAATTAATAATCCAAAAAAAAGGAATACTGATTCTATAGCAACATAATGAAACATTGATGAGAAATAGTGTGTTAATTGATTCATTCAAATCAATATAAAATCGCTGTACACGAAGAGATATTATATAAAATCATACAACATAATTCATATATAGTGGAAAACCAAACACGAAACACGTGAGTATTCACAGAAAGTAATTAAAATCTTGCCGGACCCTCAACTCTACCCAATTCTGGCGATATAATATTATCCTAACCAGTCGTAATCCCATAAGTCGGTCGGTCCCCTACTAGACCAGCTTTAAAACCGAATTACAGCTGTTTCGATACGTGATGAATTCGTGACGTCATACATAGTGATTTTGAATCGTTATCTACTCTTCTGGAAGAGGAAGATGAGAATAACATTCACTCAGATAATAATAATTATATTATATAAATCGTTTGGTATGTGCGAATTTGAGTAAATATAGATTAATGAAACCGTGAACTTGGAATTTATTTCTATGTCAACAAATAATGATATTATCTAACGGAAGAAGATGAAAATATAAATGTCTAAAATTATGTTGTCATGTGCTAAGAGATACTATAGAAATTATGGGACTTTTTACTATCTCATAAAACTGACCTGGGAGACCAACGTTTCGTGAATTAAGTGTTTAATGTTATGGCCCAATAGCAAATAAACTATTTAGTATGCATGATACCTACCTTGCAATGCCCAAAAGTTTGATGGTCATTGATTAAATTTAACGAATCGGAATTTTTCTTGGAGTATTTAATTTAAAAAAATTTCCATACGAGATTGAAATTGAAAAATTAAGTCTAGAAATATTTATGTTGATAACTTGGTTGATGATTAAATCACAAGACACCAGATCGAGTATTTTATGTACTTTCAATAATTGAATGTTTCATTTTCATTAATATCCAATCATTTTGATTATTATATTTTAAACGAACACGAGTCTTGGCTATAATGCGGTATATATCGATCAAAAGGTCTGATTATTATTTTTTATTTCATTCATTGAATGATTCATCTTCATTAATATTCAATCATTTTGATTATTTTATTTTGAACGAACTCGATTCTATAAAAAAATGATAAAGTCGTTTTTGGCTATAATGCGGTATGTATCGATCGAAAGGTCTGTGTGAGAGCGAACAGAGTCTACTTTCGGCATCTGGTCGAGTTTCGAGTTCGGCGACCGACCCCTCATGGAATAAATGCAGCACATAAATTTGAATGGTATTGCCATCTAGCGACTCTTCACGGAAGTAACGGCATCATGTATGCATAAGGGCGCAAAAAACACCGAGACCGTTTGAATATTGCCAGTGTGCAAACCTGGTTAATTTGAATAAAACTAACAACAACAGTCATCAGTTTTTTGAAATAAAAACTAGCAAATTGCGATAACTCACCTGGAGGGGGGTACGGAGTCGACGGCACAGGCTCAGGCGCGTAATTCCCGAGGCCATAACCTCTATCGTGGGCATGTGCGAAAGAGGCACTCTCGGCCACCATAGCAGCCGCCGCGGCTGCTCGTCCTCGGTCATCCGAGGGCAAATAAGGGACGGCTTGATGGGCATCTACGTGGTGCCTGGACGCCGACGAGTACGGAGAGTAGTTGCACCAGGAGCTGCCGGAGAAGCTCTGGTGACAGCTGGAGCCTGCAGGATCAGCGCTCGGACCAGCCGACACGCTGCTGTACTTGTACTCCGGCGTGCCAGTGGCAGCAGTCGCCGCGGGAGACCAGAAGAGCGATGATTTGTTCCTATCTCTGTTGCCCGTGGGGTCAGCCGCCAGGTTGTAGTAAGTGGGCGCGTTGTACTGGTGGTGGTTGAGGCCCACGGTGGACTCGAATGCCGTCTGGTGGCTGTCCGAGGGCGAGTACGACCAGGGTTGGCCATGACCGTGTCGGATGACCCCGTCCCCGCAATCGCCGTACCCTCCTGCTCCGGTCAGCCTCTTGGCGGGAATGTGCAGCGGGCCCGCAGACCCGCTGTTGCTGGTCACGCTGGCCGGGGACGAGCTGGAGGTGGTGGCAGCTGGAGGTGGCGGTGGCGGCACCGTGGCGGGGCTCGTCATGCCGCTGTTGCTGATCGGCGTGGCGGCGCTTTGGGGGGCAGGCGGGGGGCTGTCTTCGTACAGGCCGCCGTTCATCATGGACCACCAGGCTACCCCGGTGGAAGACCCCGCTCCGGTGGCTGGGGAGGATCCGGGGGGGTGCACATGGTCGTACAGGGTGGACGCGGCGCAAGCCACGGGGTCCGCGATGGTGAGGATGATTGTGGATGGTCAGATTACAGCATCGGGAGAAAGGTTGACGGCGTTCGAGTCGGTCACAGAGTTCGTGTTGGTGGTAGCGGCGCGATGAGGAGTCGGGGAAGTTATGAAAAAGAAAACACCACAATGAGCGATGCGATAACGATCCTTTCACACATTCAAAACTACTCGATATCTCACAAGAATTGTGTCAATTACAATCACCAAAGTGCAACAATTTCATTAAAGAAATCACACTTTCATTAGTACCAATCAATTTATCTTTCGTCACAATTAATCACAGTCGATTTTGATGCATTCTTATCGTATTTTTATATTAGTTTGTCTTTTTTCCGGATAGATCGCGATGTGTTCGAGCGCTCGAAAACGTAGGGTGACAGCAACACGCTAGTATCAAACACACACTGAAGTCGTGTGGAGTGAAACTAGTGGAAGTCGCGTTCAAGTCAGTCGGCTGGATTCGTGAACGCGCGTGCGATCTAGCGGTGGTGGAAGAAAACGCAGCGACGTGTGTACCGCTGGTCGCGAGTTTGTTACGACCTACGTCGAGGAATTCCTGTCTTCTGGCGGAGGAGAGAACTTTGGTCTGGGTGTCGGTGATTGATTCAGAGAATTCTTATTAGAGTCTCGGCCCCATTCCACTTGAACCGAGTTCTAGCTCTGAGCTTTGATACTCATCGAATTTATTCAGGAAGTATTCGATCAAGCTGATATGCAAAATTTCGTGCCCTATTCCTTTTACTATCCCGATTTTCTACACTAGCGAAATGCATATCGATAAAAAGGTTTATTGGTAGCTTTCTAGCTTCCTTTCCTGATTATATAGCTAATGTATGTCGAAATAATCCAATCTTGACCTATACATGGTTTCCCGACGATTTTTTTTTTCAAGTATTAATTGACGCAATCTGAAAATTATAATTGAAATCTTCATAGTTCACTTTTTGGTAGGTACTCATGTCTCATAGCATCGAATAGTTACTTATTCTGAAATCTATATCCTCCTATATATTGTTTGAAATAATTATATCTTCCTAGGTACATTGATACAATTATTAAGGTGTCGTCATTCATTTATTGTACCCATAGTACTGAAACCTTATATATCAAATGAATATCATTGAAAAATGAATCAACTCAAATTGAATCTCGATAAATTTAAGAAACCTACCTACCTATACCTATATGAAAATTGTTGTTACTTTCCACTATTTTAACGAAAGGTATAAGTACCTAAATCGTTATTTGAATTTGATGATTTGATGATTCAAAGTTTCGTGTATTCACTATAAATGTTGCATCATTATTACCAGTCATCGATTGAAGAGTCCATATATACCATACAGTTCAAAAGTTGCATTCAAGTAAAAAGTGATACTGGTGGCATGTGGAGTCAAGAAGCAAAGCCTATACATAAAACACAAATTGGTGGATGGACCTCTCGCAACCACTATGGTTGCTGTGTACCTACATAAACTCATCTTCATCAAAAAAACACGTCAAATTATCCATATTTATTACATATTTCGATATATTCAGTAATAAATGGCTCGAGATCAGGATGATGATTCAGGATTCCTTTAAAATTCTCATAATTTGTATTTGTATGTCTTGAAATATTATATTTGAACAGTTGCATACCTACTGCATACATATAATATGTAGGTATATGCCATTAATCAAGCACCTATCAAGTTTATATACATATTAAAAGAGTGCTAAATGTATTATGAACGATTTTATTATACCTATTGTTTACAAATATTTAAGTGGCATTATATTGGCCATAACTTAACTTAATGATCATTTAATTGGCATCATAACTTTTTTTGGCTTTATGAATTGGTCGAGTCATTTGAATACAATAAAACTCACTAAATATCTCTGTATTTACTCTATACTATAGCGTATATGCGTGAATAATAGTTTCATTGATTATTTCTGGAACATGAGATTAATGAATTCGAAATTTTCGATGACGAAATTAATTTATAATTAAATTTTCGGGAACGATGCATTTAGAATAAGTTGACTTGGCATCACTGACGAAAATGTAATCCCACAGGGACATATAATATCAGGCAAAATACATCATGCATCTGACATCTATATGAATATGCCTATATGTCTGACCGAGGGGTCTCTGCGCACTAAAATTCAAGCTGTGTACTAAACTATTTCTACGACTACACCCATTCCCTCTTGGACTCTATATATTTTATTATAGCATTTGCATTCGTCAGAGTATCAGAGCATATAGGTAATTTTCCAGTGCACATGAACGAATTAATTTCTTCGAATATAGCGCTCAACATTCCATGAGAAAAATTAAAACAATCTAGGAGATAAATAATTATCATTGTACCTGATGAATAAGTGATCATGACTTATGAAAAAATAATGTCAAAAGTATTAATATAGAATGAAAGTTTTTGGTTACTGAAGTAAATGTGCGTCGACAATCAATCTGGAAACTCTGCACTCGCTTTGACTTGTACATAGTGCCTGAGTTAAAGTACGGATAGATGCCGCGGGGGGATAGATGCCGCAGACCACGTGACGCGAAAACTATGCACACCTGACAACAACTCTCGGCGGGATGTTCGGCCATTATTGTTTTGCGTGCGGTGGGTGCTTCGATTGAGCAAGTGTTTAACTTGAATTGTGTGAATAAAGTTGCTAAGATTTACTTTTATTGCTTAATATTTATTTGTATGTTGTTAATAGTATTGGGGAAGTGAGTTTAAAATAACAAAATGAGATAATTTGACTTTCATAGCGTTATATAGAGCATATGTAAGTTTTTCTTTTGTATTCTCGGCTACAGAGTCATAAGGCGCAGGCTTAGGCTGGTGAGGCATCTATCCGTATCAAAAAGGAGAGATGCCGCACTTTTTGATACAAATAGATGCCACAAGAGTTTCAATAATAAAATATCATAATTTTATATTTCACCGATCATAGAACATCGAATAACTTCACATCCGACAGCGAAGGAGATTCCCTTATCCGATTTGAAGGAAAACCAAAATCCTGAATCAGCCAAGCAAGATACTGACAAACAATATTTTTGTGTGGAATGTTTTGAGGATCACCGTAAAACCTCCAAGACAGTATTGGATATTCTGCATGAGATGCAACAACTGGTTGCATGTGACATGTACCATGTACTTGAACACTTGCAACCCATGCAAACGTGCAGAACTACAACAATAAATTGCGGCATCTCTCCCTTATGGGAATTAACATTGGGCATCTCTCCGCATGGCTGTAGGCATCTCTCCGTACCTGGGGAGGAGAGTTGCCAGAAAACACTTTTTTTTCGTTATTTTTTTTAGTAGTAAAGTTTTTCAATGAAAAATATATGAATGAATGATCGTATGTTTTTCGAAATACTTATTTTTTGTTACTCGAGTTTTTATTTTTTTTTACAAAAAGTGCGGCATCTATCCGTATTTTACCCTACAGGGTTGGCAAATTTCGATGTTTGTATACCTACAGTGCGCTCACGTAAAGTATATATAAGTACACAGAATATATTAACTTCTAGCCATACTGTCCATTTCTGAAGAATCTCCTGAAACAAGTCGATTTTTATCTTTAATTTTCCATATTCATGCATGATAAAAATCCAAATATATAGGGTGATCCACGTTTGAGTTATGATACCGCGGCATTTTTTTCTAATATATCAATTTTTGAGAAAACTCCTGGAACTGGTTGATTTTTATCTGGATTTAATATGAAAATTGAATATACAGGGTTATCCACTTTTCAGTTCCCAACTAGCATTTATAGTCGCGATTACGTAATTACGACTATTGGGTCGACTATTAAGTAATATTTACTAGTTGCGGTTACGTTATAATTACGTCGTTACTACGTATTTACGACCAAAATGGGGAACAAATAACGAGTAATTATTACGGTTTGCCGACGTAGCGGGAACTCACACAATTACGTAATGCTTACGACCCGTCGACGTCGAAATTACGTAAGGATGTAAGGTAGGCGCGGGTAAAAAGGCCTGTCGGCTAATAAGGCCTAAATGATGAAAATGCAATTAAAAATAGTCGTTGTCGGTCAAGGTCACACTAACAGGTCGCTAACTATCATAGATGGCGCCTGAAATCTGTCGCGATATGTTTGGTCACTAAGGGCGACCAGTGCGGTGTCATTCATTAAGAGTAATGGTCGAGTGGCTCGAATAATAAGAATTCGTCCGAATCAATCGTACGCATTTTTTTGAAATATTACACTTATTAATATAATTCTGCGTTATAGTTTTCTATTATGTCATGGTTCTGCGATCTTTAATGTTTGAATGATATATCGAGGTCCGAATGATGTTCTTTTCAGATTTCCTTTACACACGTTATTGGAGGTTATTAAGGCCTACCAAATTGGGCCGTAGGCCTTATTATCCTCTTTTTTGTTTGGACCGGCATTTGTCTGTTTTACAGTTAATTTGATGACCTTTTCAAAATGTTAGGAATGTAAATAAGTCAGCAGCACATGCCTACACCGGCTGAAAATATTACTGCAAAAACACCAACAGTTAGAAGAAAGGCCATAAATTACAGGGGAACTCCAGTCACCAAAGACCTGTTTGACAAAAACAAGGACAATAGAAGAATTAAAAAGACCTCAACCCCCAAAAGTAGAAGTGGTACTGAACAGAACCAGGCGAGTTGGTACTGTCATGTTTGTGAGGAGGACAAAATGGCTGACATGAGACAATGTTCTAAATGCATCAAGTGGTATCACGAGGAGTGCGTCGGTTTGTCAGCTGATGATACAGATAATTTTGAGGGTCCTGAGGGTTGTTAAACGAAGAAATTTGTTGTTATTTTCAAGAACTCAGAATGGTCAATGCAGGATTATCAATTATCGATCTCAATTACCAAATGTTAGGAGTCTATTTTTATTTCTTATGCATATTACAGTCATAGGCCTTATTAGCCTACTATAGTATAATAAGGCCTACTGACAAGGTTTTTAAAAATGTTCAATCATGTTTTTATTCATGACACACGTTGCCATGTTCTGTTTATTTTAGACAGTACCTGATCTTAAGGTTCAATTAACATTAAAATTCGTCGATTTTGTTAAATAGTTTTCATTTTATTTCAAATCCTCCTTAGCTAGGCCTTATTACTCGCACCTACCTTAGTAAATTTTCCTACCTGACTTTCTATTTCTTTTCCACTTCATAAAAATATTATTTTCTCTCTTTATTATTCTTCATTTCATCCATGAAGTTCACATTCACGAAAAATGAACAAGTCCAATATGCCTAACCATTCAATAAATAATACAAGGACAAACACGCGAAATAATTGATACTCGAACTTGAAAAATTCGAACAACATTCAGTTTTTCGATAAATGTGATGATTT